AGAGAGAGAGAGAGAGAGAGAGAGAGAGAGAGAGAGAGAGAGAGAGAAGGAAAGAGGGGAAAAGAAAGAAAGAAAGAAAGAGAGAGATAGAGAGAGAGAAGAGAGAGAGAGAGAAAGAGAGAGAGAGAGAGAGAGAGAGAGAGAGAGAGAGAGAGAGAGAGAGAATAAGTTGAAAGGAAAAGAGATAGAACAAAAGGTTTTTCCGTGGAAGCTCACTAAAAAGGCGTGAATAGCTGTGTTGATAATATAAAATTCACAGAACAACTGGGTTTCACCAAAAATACCACTAAGCTTTTATACACATTTTCCTTCTGTATATTTTTACGAGTACAGTCATGGCCCGATAAATCAGGTCAGCCAACGGTGAAGTATCTAGGCTTGCGCGTAACGTACGAAGCCTGGCGGTCCCAGGGAACGCCAGTCTATTTTTAGAATCCGCTATATTTAGCACGCGGAAACCAGCCAGTCAGCGCGCACACTATATTTAACAGCCGGATAGCGAAAGTATAAGTAGCTACACCGTTAGGTGGTAAGTTATACACATACGTTTCATACACTTAAGCGTACACGAAAAATTGTGTGGTGCGATTAAATACTGACACTCGGAGAGACTATTCTTTTTTCTTCTCAGAAGAAGAACAAGTACAACTTGTGAAACAACAATGAAGAGTTTGTTCTCATCATGTATTCAGCGCCAGCAAAGCACTGAGGTTGAAATTCGGTGTCCCCGGCGTAAGATGGTGATCGTCGGTGACGGGGAATGCGGCAAGACCTGTCTCGTGTCTCGTATGTCCACGGGCAGCTTCACGGACGTGGGTTACATACCGACTGTGTTCGAAACTGAGTTGGTGACGGTGAACACTGGAGAAGAGAAGGTGGAGCTGGTCATCCACGACACCGCCGGGCAAGAAGACTACGACAGACTGCGCCCCTTCTCCTACGCCGACATAGATGTCGTTCTCGTCTGTTTCTCCCTCGCAGACTCGGACACCCTGGTGAATGTGGCCGAGAACTGGTCTCCAGAAATCAGGTACTACTGCGGCGGCGCTCCGGTCATTCTGGTCGGGAATAAGAAGGATTTGAGAGACAGGCCCGAGGGAGAAACCGACGGAGAACTCTCTGGTTTTAAAACTCCTTCGTCTGGGTCATCTGGCTCACTTCTTTCTACAGAAGAGAAAGAAAAATTCCAGTCGACATCATCTATTCCAGATGAACTAGAGTCACAGCTGGCGTCTGACGAGCCATCATCACATGCTTCTACCACTACTGGAAAATCGTCAACTATTACGTCCTCAAAAAAGGTGTACCGACGAGGTGCCCCTGTCAAACACAGCGATGGTGCCCTGATGGCCCGCCGTATCGGGGCCATAGCTTACTTCGAAACCTCTGCCCTGGACGGGGAGAACACAGAGGAGCTCCTGCTGGCGACCACAAAGGCAGCCATTCTGGGCAACAAGAAGGCGAAGAAATTCAAGCCTCTCAAAGCAACGCTAGCGAAATGGACATCTACAACAATCCACTCATGAAATCGTGAAATGACTAAAACGCCATGAATCGTAACAGTGATCTCCATCACTGCAAGAGAAAGCAACCAATTACAGTATAGCTCCCCGGCTGCTGTCGCTGCAATTTCTGCCCACAACAGGACAGCGTCCTGACCCATCCCTTGGAGCGTTTAAAAACCCTGTCCGGTGGTCTAACCACGGAGCAACACCTACGCAAATCGATGACTGCATCGACGTCAACAAACGCTCCTGGTGTAGGGACTTCATCAGGAACCTACACTCGGCCAAGACAGAAACAGATTTACATCGTAACCATCTCAGGATATGATCCACGAGAGACATCGCAGCCATCCCAAGGCCTGATCCACAAGGTATTCAAATGGTGACCACTGACTCTGATTTATTCAGGAGCTCTTCTGAATTTTACACACTGACTTTCTCCTCTTTCTATAACTTCCACGATTCTGTGATCGCGCGCCGATAGCTCTGTTGGTAGCATGCTGGATTACAGGGCGGATTGACCTAGTTTGAATCCTCAACGAAGCTGAAATCGGTAATTGTGTCAAGTGAAGACTTGCGTGATATTATGTGACTGTTTGAACTGGGAGGTCGTGCAACGTGTGAAAAATAATTGTTAAAATTAAATTATGACATGAAGTGCTAATTTGACTGTGTGGATGAAAATGGATGCTATATGTTGTAACCGTGTTTACCTTGTAGATTTTATGACGTGCCTCTTACGGAGAGAGGGGGTGACAACTGTGATATACCATACTTTTTCCAAACATACATGTCGGCCCTATTTCATCTATTTTTGTATTTATAATTTATATGTCGTATGTATAGGGTCGTGCAATTAATTTTGCGAAACTGCGAATGTGTTTTGATGTCCTTACAAGTTTTGTGTGATATTGAGTTATTGTACAAAATAACCCCTGCCGTCTTTCAGCGTTATAAATATAATTTCTGTGCATACTGTACTCACCAGTCATCATATTATAATGTCATAATGTCTTTCTGATATTGGAGAAAACAATTATTTGGACTTAACGTTCTTGCTCTTGCCATTTTGACTTTAAATGACATTTTCAGAAATATAAAAAAACAAAAATAAAAATCCCCAAAACAAGAATTATTTTTCTTACTTTATTGTTTTGTTGACTTATAGTTTCTGACACGTGATTTGACCTTTTGAAATATTTTTCCCTTAATCTAAAAAAACAAACTGCAACGGTTTATGAGCTAACACATTTGATCACACAAACACCCAAATACGCAGACACATTTGCACACACAAACACAACACATATATCAAAACGTACACACCACACACACATATAAAAAACGCAATCGCAAACAGGTAGAGGAGTTCAATGAGAGAGAGAGAGAGAGAGAGAGAGAGAGAGAGAGAGAGAGAGAGACAGACAGACAGACAGACAGACAGACAGACAGA